TGGATACCTCTAGTTTTTGATTTACTCGAGGGGAAAAATATACAAAACGCTGACCACGAATCATAGAGAACTACCACCGGCAAATTATCAATGACATAAAAACCAACGTTGGGGTTGGGTGTAACTCTTGAATGTTTAAGATTATAATCAGGTAGGTTAAAAGCATTATATAGTTTAACGGGCACCGCAATAAAATTTAAGTATAAATTATTATTATTGTCGTTAGCCCGCGATGACCGTTACATAACTGCAACATGATAAATCGCTTGACTAACAGTTGTCCTTTATTTGTTTCTACTTTATTTTTAACATTGGCCCACTCGTGTCGATGGTAAAAAAATTATACGGGGGAACGTTATTTTTCATAAAACGTTGTATATGTTTTTTCTCACGGAAATATGCTCAATACGTCTTGTGTACCACGTCGGTATGTGATGTTTTAATTTAAATCTATTAATCGTGTGCTCCTCGATGTCTTCGGCCGCCGTTCCAAACTAGACCGGTGTAAACGTTGATTTGTGAGGTCAAACGACATATGATTCGGCAAATGGCTCCATATACTAACACGTCGGTTTCGACGGCAGTATTAATAAAGGTCCGGGAAAATAGAAAATCGGATAGATCGATTTTCGTCAAAGATGAAAATTCGAGCCGCCACCGTCGAGATTACATCAATTTGAAATGTTCTCACTCACATACACGCGCGACATCGCCGTAAAAAAATCAGTAACACCGGTCTCTGGCTATAGATTCCTCTCGTATGGAATCCGGAATCGTCTAAGCTCAAGTTGTGTGTCATTGAACGTGACCACGACCGTCTCAATCGCTCGGTTACCTCGTAAGAGAGAAAAAATGTTATTACGCGTTCACATAAAATGTCTTTATATATTTTACCGACAATTTTCCTCCGCTACGATGCACAGATATTCTGTATGAATATGTGTTTATGTATGTGTTATTGTGTTTACAAGGCTCATAGAAAAAATTGTATTCTCGAATCGGGATTGTTTTTAAAACTCTTTTGGTACGAATTACTAAAAAATAACGAATCAATTGGACAATAGTAAAAGATCAAATCTTTCACAATAAGTACAACACGAAACCGCCAATCGACAAGCGTTGTCCGTAAAAATATAATTTTCGATGACGTTTTGTCTGCTCGTTACAAAGGAATTTATGGAAATATTAATTATTTGCACTCTGGGAGCCGAAATTATAGAAATATTTGTCTTCTCAAAATTGCTGGTCAATTACATGTGTTTTTAATGGAAAAAAATTCCACACCATCCGGTCACGACAATCATTTGATTTCCTTATGTTCGTTAAACATCACTTTGCGTATCACGTGGGAAATTCTCACATGGTACTATTGTTAAAACATCAACTGTATTATTAGCATTTTTTTATTGTTATTATTATTTTTTTTTTTGCAATTTTAACAGTAACATAGTTAAGGCGAAACAATCGCGCGTCGCCATTACTCACAAGGCTTAGAATTTTAACATGGTCCACTTGAAGCACTAATCTTTGAAAAATAACCACCGGTACTCCTAATAATTGTACGACATATATGTTTGTTTGCAACACGTCACATTTAGGTGAATCGCGGTGACATTTGGACCGAACCAAACTTTTAGCAGTGAACGTGTCAATGGAAAATCTTGCGATCGGTAACATTGTCCGATTTCCAGCGATTCGGTAAAACGCCATACTAGTTTTGACGTTTTAATCGGACTGACCGTACGATGCAGCTGTGACATATCGCGTTAATATTAAGTAGGAAACGTGAATTTTTGTGAACGAACGATTGTAATTATAATTTATTTTGTACCAAAATAACAGGTTGCCAACTGTGCTGTACGTTCGCGCAGTGTTATTCCATCGAACGCTGTCACCACACACGTTCGACCGGTAGCGTAGTCAGGGGGGTCAAGGGGTCCATGCCCCCACTACCTATTCACGTCTATTCACATGAACAAAAAGAAACGTCCCAAAATGTAATATTTTCTACCATTCCCTCCCCTACACGTTATGAAATATTGGCTGTGCCACAGCGTTGTGTCGAACGCTGACGATTGGGTTTGGATATTACGGATACATGACGGGGGGGAACTCACCGATAAATAACTTGTTGAAAACCGAGACTTTCGGGCAACGTCCGTCCGTTCGGATAAGACGACATTGTGTCTCTAGTCTTATGACGACGAATCGCGATCGACGTTTATGAAAATGATAAATAACGTAAAATCCAATATTATTTAGCTCGTTAAAAAAATTTTCGAATTTGATAATCGCAGTAGTAACGTTGACGCCGTCGAATACCGCAAAATTCTTTGTGTATTGGACTACTAGTCGAAAACCGACTAGATTTGCGCGGCACAAACAGTAGAAACTCGGTGTCCGTTTGTCGGAAAACCGTTTACTTGCCGTGACAAAAGGATTTTTGCGTTATAATTTTTTTTTCTCCTCGTAATCATTCGCGCACAGTAAGAAAACACAAATGTACACTGACGAAAAAAAAAACGCAAAACCGACATGAAATACGAGCGGCCTTGAAACCGACGATGGATAGATCGAATCTCTCGACCCGCCGGCGGTTTATTATGCGAATCGCGTTACGAATTTTTTTACCGTAACATGTTGTTACTCCGTCAGAAAATTACCCTATTACACCACCGCGTATACACACAATTTACACCGGTGTGTAAACGGGGAGGTACACTACAGGACGGTATGCCATGAGCGAAAATACTTTACTCTCCGTATGCGTAACACGGACGTTATTTTAATTACGTGTCTTGATGGCTGCCGCAATCCGAAACACGAATACGAAGCGTTTTCAAACAGTAGACGATTATTATCGACAGACTTTGAAATACTATTTCGTTTATGAAACACTCCGCCCTAACCTTCTTCCGGTTCTGCTTGAGACTGTAGGGCTTAGCGTTAAATACGTTGGCGTACTTTCAAAGTGGACAAAACAAAAATGATAATTACAATTTATAACGCGACCATAATGTTATTATTCAATTCGTCCTTCGACCTCCTCCTCCACTACTACTAACCAGTCCCATACTCAAATCATAATCCCATACTCGATCGACGCGTACCGTCGAATAGAAAACATTTCCGTAAGAGAAATAACGATAATTATTGTTGCGTACCAAAGAACGTCGCTAATGTACAACGAAACGACGGGGTTCGGTCTAAAGATCCGAGTACCACCCCCCGCACTCGGTGCCGTGACGGATTTATCGTTTCAGTAGCCGGTAGCCCGGAGACAAAATGATACAGCTCATTGTCAACCCCGCCGTCGTGCCCGTGAAGCGCCGAGGTCGTGTGTTGTTCCGTTGTGTCGCCGCGACCACTACGTCAACAACGTCAGAAAAGAAACTGACCTAACCCGTTCTTCTGTAATCCGAAAAACCGTCGAGCCGTAGATCGTTCTAATTGATTCGGGCGACCCGTACGCTCGTGTCGTTGTCTTCGAGGTCGAAATGTTCCATTTACAGATGGAATTTACACACTCGGATACAGTCAAAGCCGTCGGTGACGTGTAAAAATCACGGTTTCATTAATGCGCTGTTACGAAAACAGAAAACAAAATCTAATACGAATCGTGAACGACAACGATGACAAACGGTACGGGCAAACCGATCGAGTATTACCGGTGAATTTATGTAACACATTCTTTTTACCGAAATTTTTGTGTGTGTAGTAATCGTCGATCGATACTTGGACACAATACACAACACAAATCGAATTAAACGCGGCCGTAAGTGAAAACTTTAAACCCGACCGCGATTAACCCGAAATCGAATAAACGAACGACTCTACAAAACGAAATGGTTGCGTTTTACGGGAGGTGTTCGTAGCAAATAACCCGACAGCCGAGAGAATCCGTTTTGGTTTCAAGAGTAAAAAAAAATTGTAGTAGAACCTTTGGTAAAAAATAAAAAATAAAACGTCAGTGGCCTTTTATTAAAAGTACACCTTATAATTTACGTCTCGATAAAATTTGAATTATTAAAATTTTTAACTGTAAGAGTAAATAACACTGGAAATAAAATCCACTCTGGGCTAATGACTCCAAACGTTATTTTCACAGGAAATAGCATTTAAGCAACACGCGTTGATTGGACTTGAGTGTATACGAGATATGTCCGATCGTTTACTATAATGTGTGTGTGTGTGTGTGTGTGTGCATATGTTTGCGGATATGTATATGAAATGATACATGTATGCGTAGACAAATTCACCGGATGAAACATTATATCCACTGGCAATCCGATGTGTCCACGCGAACCGTACACGGCCCGTGTCTTGACATTGACTCGGCGACCTGAGATTACACCGTACTGGTGTGGCGGGTAAACAGGAGATCTGGTACGGGTGTAAAGTGTACGTAAATAACACATATACAAAAAACGAGAGAATCGAAAAGAAAAACTGGTCAAACGGATTCGGCTGCGTCGAGTGGTCGGTGGGGTACGAGGGGGCCATCGCTTGCAACGGTAGACGTTGTCGGCGATGGCGGTGGCCGGCAGATTTCGTGGTAGGAGGGAAGCCCGTAACAGGACGATGGTGGTGATGATGATGATGACGATAATAATAATAATAAAACGCACACGGCGTGTACCTGTTTGCGAGCATAACCGTGTTCTCGACGAACGGGTTCGGGGCACGGTACCCCCGCGCATGCGCGCAACCGGTTACATCACGTCCACAGGTTTCCCCGTCGGCCCTACGGTTTTTGTTGTTTTTTTTTTTTTTTTTTTTTTNTTTTTTTTTAATCGTCTTTTTACCACCACCACCGCCGCTGCCTCCACCGTCAACGTACCTTTCGAAATACCACTATCCGCCGCCGTTGCTCGAAAACCGTGATCTTGGCAGTGGTGGTGCGCGTTCTTTCCGTCCGCGCCACTTGTTTTGTCGCCCCCACCTAACCGCACGACGATCCACCTCCGCCGACGTTCGTGCACCACGTATCCACCACCTCCGCCAGACCGAGAACCTTCGGGCCCGCAGCACCGTCCGCAACACGACAGTTCACCGTCACGTACCGTCAGCGAACGACCGCCGTGTTTTCCGCACGACCTCCGTGACCGTGATTTTTCAAGCTCAACTGCTGTTGTAGTTTTGTACACGCACACACACCTGTTGTTATATTTGTCAATTGTTCCAGCGTTATTTATTCGCACATAGTGTACCGCGCAGTGCGTTTTTTATTTTGGATTTTAACTTGCTAGTGTTTTTTTTTAATTGTTTCCTCCGTACACCGTTTTTCGGCCGCGATAGTTTTTCCACTGCAGCACCGGTATGGTGGTCGATTTCAGTGCGTTCGGTTATATGCCGCCGGCGCGGTTAGCCGTTTTGTAGCCAAGCGAAAACAGTAACAGTGGATTTTTGTTATTTCATTATTATTTATTTTTTTTTTTCCAATTTTCGACGAATTTATATAATTTATTTGTAATTGTACGAGAAATCATATCGATCGTTCGACATGCCTAAGATATTCTTGATTAAAAACCGGTTGCATCAGCAACAGCAGAAGTTGTTGGAGAACCAAAAGGGAAACTCGCAACCGACCGATCCGTTGGTGCAGTACGATAATCATCACCATCACAGTCGGCTGCAATCTCCACCGCCGTCATTAGTACACGGTAAACATCAAGGTGAGTCATCTGTTATTTTCACGAATGGAAAATGCCGATTACGCGAGTTGTCTCCGAATTCTATAAATTTCCGAGAAAAAAAAACAAACCTAATGTGTGGCGCACCCAAAAATCGGCTGCCACCCGCATGACCGTTGGCACAAACTCGTCCTCCAAAGCTCGCTCGCTCTAGGAACACTTGCGGTGACATACTTATAGACTTAGACCGGGCGTTTGCTTGGAGTACACGGGTCGATGGTATTTATAGGTCGGACCGACATCGGTGCGCAGAACAAAAAAAAAAACACCAGTTAACAAAGACTCGTACAAAGTCTGGTCCGATTGGTGGTGACACGAATCGAAATAATATCGGTACGCGCTAATGGAATTGTTATCGGCACGATGCTAATGGAAACGTCGTTATAGGTACCCGAGAATTTTTTGATGTATTTGACATACTCCCCCGTACATTTTTTACTTTTATTCGACACGACGTTATTCGTCGTCTGCCGGTCGCTGTGATATTATTAAAGTCTCCGCGGGTGGGAACTTCAACGCCGGTGCACAAAGTGCTTGACGCTGCTCGGATTATTACCAGGACGGATACCCCGAGCAACTATTGTTCGTAATGAATATTTCATTGTTTCATTTCGTACCGGCATTGACACACACACACACACAATAACCAGACGAAGAGTATTTGTTTTGATTTTTCGACTTATTACGTTCGGATAATATCGGTATTGTTATTAAAATCGTCGTAACTTCGCGAACGCGCTATGCTCGGGCGGTGGTAATGGAGTTTTTCGACTCCGACCGATTCTCGGGTCTTTACACGCCTTAACGACGACGGGCGACTAATTAATATCTCGTTAAACAAATGGAATAGCCGTCGATAGGTTTCCCGTAGTAATATACTCTGAAAATCCCGTAAAAGGAATGCGTTTGAGTTTTACTGTGTAGTGACGTCGTCGTTAATATTTCTTTAGCACGTCAGGAACACTTGACGATGTTTTATTTGAAAAACCGGTGAACCGCAGACCAGAGCCGTTTCGCGATTGATTCGAAGCATTTCCGGACCGGAACAAACGGTGCAATAACAACAGCGACAACGATAATGGACGTTCCAAAAACGACCTTATTTTTTTAGGATCGTCTTTCTGTGTACACACGACGGGCATTGTTGTCGTCGTCTGCGCGACGTCCGAAAGTAGTGCGCGTACACACTACCGGTTGGGTTCGCGTACGAAAAATCTACGTGTTATTTATCCTGAAATATTGAATTTTGGCGGGACTCGGGTTCGCGGATTCTAGGAATTCCAAGGTACCCGTGTATGTTTCTTTTGTTTGCAAATGGTAAATGCACGTCGCGCCATACGGTAGTTGACCTTTTTCCGGCACCGATAAATCGAGTCTGGTTTTCAACACGGTTTTTGTGAAACCGTACCAATGGGTATGTGTGTGTGTAACAGGTACTCCGGGAGCAGCTAATAATCGCGCACACACACATACGACCGACCGTCAATTTCTACGCGACTATACTTCCTGGTGAGCGTGAACCCACCAGGACCACCGTCGTGTTCGTTGGGTTCACTATGCCGACCCACACAATACGGGACCTAGCCCAGAATCGCCGACTGACCTCCGCGGATACACACACTTGTTTCGAGTCCCTTGCCGACCTCGTCCGGGTCCAAGGATCAACTAATATAATAAATGCGGTTTGGGTCACCGTGTACGGTACAGCAGTGTACACGCTGCGACACGGTATACAGATGACATTGACGGGGAAAAAAAATATGATCTAGTCCGAAAATATTCATCGCCTCCGGAGTGCGAATTACGGCGGCGTTTGCAAACCCTTACGCCGTCGTGCACAAAGACAATCCGAAAACGTTTGGGAGGCGTTCTCAACGTCGTGGAACAGTAGTAGAGAATTATTACAAAAAAAAAAATCAACATTCGTCGTGACGCTCGACGCGTAGTGGAACTCAAAACCCGTTGTGGGTACACCACAACGGGTTTTGAGATTTGGCCGGTCGCCCGTACGTACACACTTTCTTCAAATTTCTCAGCCCGACAATCACTGCGTGCGGGTCGTCCGACGGAACCGACCGCTCGAAGAGGTGCTTCCAGTAGAATTCCGAACGATTACCGACGACGCGGACCGATTCCACGTCCGTCGAGCTGACTACGGTAAAGCCGTGCCCTCATGTGACGCTCGACAAAGCTTCGTTCGGCGAGCCAACGGGGTCTCCTTATGCAAACGACGGACCGATCAGGTTCCGTTACGATTGTCGGTAGCGTACGCGGTCGTGTGTCTATGTAGAAAAACCGAAATACACGAACATAGAACGGAAAATTCACATTGAGCGCGAACGGGTCACGGTTTGTGTACTTCCGAATAATGTGCGCGAGTAAACAAAGCACGGTGGGCAGAGAGGAAGTACGATGTTCGCAGAGAGCGTAAACCGAACACAATAAGATTTTCACGTACACAGATGCATATATGTGTATAAATATATTGTGCATATATATTTATACAATATACGAGCTCGTATATAGACGCGTACACGTATTTAGGTGCGCGTATAAAAATAAAAAAAACAAGGTCAATTTCGTTTCGCTTCACGGCTCGTTGTTCCTGCCGCTGGCACAGCAGCGAGTTCAACGCTCCGAAGACACTCGACGCCGGTTGGTCAGCAAACTAGCACACAATGCGCGTTCCGACGATTTGCCATTAATAATTACCGCCTGTCTTTCATGCTGGTGCTTTTTTTTTTCTTTTTCGGTATTCTTAATGTTGGTTACTATTATTATAATTTTTTTTTTTGCGTTACACGCTACTGTGATTTTCCCATCGTTTCGTCAGCTCTCATTGTTGTTTCGCCGCGTCTTGGTTTTTATCGGTCGCCCGCTACCGCAATGGCAGTCGGCGGTTTTTTTGCACGAAAAAACGCCCCGCCATTAGTGGCGATCGATCGATTCGCGCTGCGACGACCGTGACTTTGAACGGGCCAAACAACGACGACGGCAAAACAAATGACACCGATCGAGAATCGCACATAATTTACCGTAGTAATGGGCACAGAGCATTTGTGTCGCACGACACGGGCGACATGACCTGGTAACGGTCCTCCGAGGCCGAAACCGCCGTGCACACGCTGCTGTGGCGAAAAACCTTGACGGACAACCGGGTGCACAAGGACTCCACCACAGCCGTTTGTGTGTTACAATATTACTTATGCTGCAAATGCAGGAAGTAAATCGCGCGAGTACAGGAAGTGACCGAATGTTTGTAATGAGAACGACTGACTGCAATTAGCACCAACGAATACGTTTGGCGGGCAAAGCGATTTACAATATTTCATCGTATTGTCAGATGAATAGTACAATGTTGTTTATATTATGACGGATACATTTACTGTTTGTTGAAAAATATAAATCGTATATAATTATGCGGCGGCCAACACATCACATATATAACTTTAATATATATATATATATCATATTACATGATACACATTGAGGAAAACAATAATACAATTAACGCAAACCGTTCGTTAAACTTGAATCATCCGTAAATGAACGGAGTGAAATCTTTTGGCGGCGAGGGTAGTAATTGGAAATAACGTACCGCGTACACACCGCCGCCGTGATTGTTGCCATATTGTTCCACGTCGGAATTCTCTGGCTGCGTCCTCCCCCTTTCCATCCGTGGACCGCATATACCGAGGGGTGACTACCACCACCGCCATTTGTACAGGTGCACCGTACAGGTGCCCTGAAATCGGTGCTACTATTGTCACACGGCGGTTCCCAGGCTCGCTGTTAACGCGGTGTCTGTTCGGTTTAACGACCCGACCATTGTTTTTGGCAGTTGATTACCACCCGACGTTTACTGGTGACGTCAACAATGCGCGTTATACGTGTACACTCGTTGAGAGGGTTTTCCCATCACGTCGTCGCCCGTGTAAACACTAATGTTTAATAACAGTGTGTGGGGTAGTAGCCCACAGTGCGGTCGGCGCAAGATATAGCCGTGCAAAAACGATATGTTTTTATTGTTTTTAGTAATAAAGCCCGTTTTGAATTTACCGTCCCCGTTACGGGCGGACACCTCTTGATTTCTCGCGAAAACGCACCTTTGCGCACTGCCGGGAATCGGGTTTGCACGGAAACTTAAAAAATGGGAAAAAAAAGCGCGCCCTGACAAGTCGCCGTCTTACCGCGGCGACATAGGCGTCAGCCGTGTCGGAGGGAAACGCGAGGGGCGGTGTGCAAAGGTAAATAGGAAACGCGGTTTCGTGTATCGTGACTTTAATTATGGCGTGTAAGAGAAAGAAAACGAAAAAAAATCTAATGCCGGAGCAATAACGCGATGTTATCGTGTGCTGCGTCAACGTTATTGATTGTGGGGGGGGAAGGAGCGGAGACGGGTCGTGGACCGAAATGGTAGTGTAGGTGGGAGTGGTGGCGGACGTACGGAATGGTACGGACCGTAAGATGTGAGAATCACTGTTATTTCTTATGGCCGTCTTTCGTTTCCCCGCCTCGCCCAACCGTTCGTCGTCTATGCCGAACGCACACACGTACACGTTTATACTGTACGCGATATTCCACCTCCACGGCCGCAGTCGACGGTATCTCGCGGCCGTTATCCGTGAAGCCGTCGTAATGAACTCGAAACGAGTTTTACCTTGAAATCTCTATGGAGGTGTGGACGTAAAAAACCCAGAATAGAAGAGCAGAGACGGCGGAGACCAATGCCAGCCGGCATCGTCGTCATTGTACACTACACTGTATGTCGTACACATACTCTGGGAAATTTTGTTTTATTGATTCCTTTTCTTTTTTATTCGGATTTTACATTGCGACATCCGAACCGGACGTACACGCGCCTCGACGAGAAAAACGCCGGCCGACATTCGACTTGTACAACGTTTTTCGAGTGCCAATGTCGTGTTTTTCGTCCAAAAACCGCAACCGACCGTCGACGTCAAGGCCAAACTCGACGGTGCGCCTACGCTTTTGTGAATACTAAAAAAATACCCAACGTTACAAACACGACAATGGCTAATTAAGTCCAAGCACCGATCCGCTTGACCCTCGGCACAAAACGCGGTACCGTGTAAACCATACCGTTTGTGCGTGTCGGTGTGTTTGTGCCATTATGTCTGTACGTGTAACCTGTGTGTGTGTGTGTGTGTACCTCTGTCTCGAGGTCGTACTCCGCCGATTGGCCAACGCCGTTTGTTTGTGTGTTATAACGCCAGACGAATAGTGCGTTTTGCATTGTTTTCACCATTGCGCGAATACGATCGTGTCCTTAGATACACGCCACGGTCACGGCGCAATCCACGGCCACGAATTCTAGCGGTTTTTTTTTTTCATTTTTGTTCGTTATGTCGTACACTTGTCGGGGGACGCACGCACGACAATGACGTATTGGCCGCCGCCGTAAACGGTGAAAACGTGTGGTGGAATGCGTCGGGTGGCGGTTTTGAATCGCTGCTCGTCAAATACTATACAAATAAAAACACAGTCGTCGTCCACCATCAACGCAATAAGACGACGTCTGACGTGGCGCGATACGGTTTTCTCAGCAAGTACGTACTTATCGAGAACACCGTGTCGCCAATGAGCGTTTTACGACGAATGGTATTTAAAAAAATACGTCGAGTTGTCGTGTACACGTCGGCCGTTAAATTATACCGTATTCTTCGGTCGATTTTACGACCGTGACTCTTTCTCTCTTGCAATGTGATTTTCTTTTCTCGATCGGAGGCGTTTCGGATCGCGGGCCAGCCGTTAAAATCTCCGGCGTACCACCACCACCGTCCGACCGCTCAGACGACAACTCGACCTCTTGTCGGGTCGGCGATATAACAATGGCGGTGCGCTACGCCGAAACGGCTGACGACCTTGTGTCGACCATATGCGAGCAACACACACGCGCACCAATTCGTGTCCTCGCAAAAACGTCGAGGATTATTCGATCGGGCGCGCCCAAATCTCGTTCGTGCGACATGCGATTCGGTGCAACGCAATTTTATTGCATCGTCCGCGTTGACTGGTACGCGATGGGCGACGGCGCGGCCACAATAAAGAATTTAAGACGTGCGCGCGTTACCGTTACGGGTAACGAGGCGGCGTAAACAAATGTAACTACACAGCGCTAGTGCGTTACTAGAGAATGACCGTAATCGGTCGTGGACGATATTAAGCGCCCGTGCGTTCGTTTTCGGCGACGAGATTCGCTAGATTTTTCTATGCGCGCGCGCCACTTTAAACGTCTTAAACGGTTGGGGGGGGGGCACAACGAACGCCTGGCTATTAGAGCGTCGGGATAAATAAAAATTCGACATAATGAACGATCCGACTTTTGTGCTTTTCGTCGTTTAATTCCGGTCCTCGTCGACCGCCAAAGTTGACCACCACCACCACCACACATTGCGTTCGACGTTACACGGATAACAATTCGCATGTGTCTGCGACGCGACAACAATGCACCGAGAGACAATACACACACATACGAGTGGTGTCCTTGAGAGATTTTAACGACCGGCCGTTATACTTGCAACGCACAGACGCGCGCGCCCTATGAACTTTTCCTTGAACTCGATTAACCATTGGAAATTTGCCGAATACGTTTCACACGGTCGTGTATCGCCGTCTGTGTGACTCGTACGCGTCAAAAAAGTTGCGGACGGTTACACGCTTTCCGATTTTTCGTTCTCCGGGAAACGGTAGAAATTTTCATATGACCAAGCGGCGGCGGCGATGACGCATAAAAAACAAAACTGGTTTTTATTTTAATTCGCCGTTTATTACGCTTTCGAGCGATTGCGTTCAACATTTTTCGATGGGTTACGGTAAATGCGCGCGACAGTTGGAAAAAATCAATAATACTGCGGTGAACGCGTGTGGGCGGCGGCAATGACATTGATCGTTACGGTCGTGCGACTCGACTGTGCACGACACGGTCACGGTGGCAGCAGAATTTCAGACGCGAGTGTCTCTATAAGCGCTGCTACATTGACGAATCGCGCGCACACTGTTGATAAGAGGTCCTCTAATTTATTTTGCGTTTTCGTTTACATATTTCGTCTACGCCATGTGATAACGAACCGCTGCGGCGGCGACCCAAACAAAAAAATCTCGTGCATACAAACGGGTTTCTTATCGCGTCACCTCGAGTTTTATCCTCTTAGGCCGTAGCCTCCTCAAATCCGGTCCAAAATCTTCGGATCAAACGGGTCTTTGACGCGTTCGCCCATTACCCCGCCGCACGTCCTGCTCATGCAACCGTCGAAAATACCATCGATTTTTATCGTTTTCCTGAACCTTAAAGAAAAAAACCCACATTTAAGTATCTCGTCCCCGTCTTCGACGGCTCATCGTCTTTTGGGTCTTCGGGTCACGGACGCGTTTGTCGGCGTTATTATAATCGGCGCTCGTCGTTGTCACCCCACGTCGAGACGAACGGGCACAATAAAACCATCGTGTCCTTGACGACGGTTTTGGATGTGGTACGGTGTGTGGTACGGTGTGTGGTGCGTGTCCCGTCAATTACTATCATATTGTTTGCTGTTCGCAGCAAAGGGTTATGAGTGGAAGTAGTGGTGCGGAGGAGCCGGTATGTTTTTCCCCGATTGCCGTTACGATATTGTCGAATGTCGCGGACGAGTCGTTCTCGCACCGCTGCGGTCGTGCATGTTCCTGAAGGAGTTGTTTTCGAGAGAGTCCGTGTACAAAACAAACGAAAAGAGTACGCTTAAACGCAAAACGAATACGGTCGCCGTCGCTTATATAGTCGATCGTGTGTACCACTTTATCATGGTGTGGCAAAATAGTTTCCCGTTTTAAAAACGCATTGATTAAAAGTACTTTTTTTTAAATTTTTTTTTTCATTTTTCGTTACAGATAAAAACGTATGCAGTAGAGTCGTAGACGACAATGACGATGACGACGACGACGACAGGATCGGCGGCTTCGAACCGGATTTCAGAAACAGATCGGTATCGCCTCAACCGGTCCGACGAATCGGTCCGGCTGCCGTCGCCACGACGACCACCACTACAGCCAACTCGGTTTCGTCGATGCCCGCAGCCGTACCCGGTCCTCCGTCGTCACCCGACTGGAATCCGCCGCCGAAACGCAGGTTCATTTCCACGTCGGACGGCGACAACATACCGTACGGCAGCAAGGACAGTTTACAACAGAGCGGCAACAGTAGCAGCACCCGACAGGCCGAACCGGCGGTGGCCGTGGTGAGAGCGGAACGCGATGCCAGCGGCAAATCGCCGAGTCCGGAACCGCGACCAGCCGAACCGAAACTTACGTTGCCACCGCCGCCGCAGACGCCGAAATGCCGTCAGGTATCGGTGATCCAGCGAACACCGGTGCCGGCTATTGCCGAATCGCCGACGTGTCTTCGCACCCGTCCATCGCCCATCGCGCCGCCGGTAGTGGTCCAACAACAACCCGAGCAGGACGCGCCCATCGATTATCACGTGCCGAAAAAGAAGTCAGATCTTGATTCGGAAATCGCGCGGGCCATCAAGAACAAATTTGCTGTCACGCTCCGGGGCCAACTGGTGCAGGCGCCCAACGGAATCTTGACGGCTGCGGCCGGTCGGGGACGCGGCGGCGGTCAGCAGGCCGCTGGAGGAGCCGGTGCCGGAGGAGGAGGAACTGGAGCGGGAAGTGGCAGTGGATCGAACTCGGCCACTAACCGAGGGACGTCTCTACACTCGTACACGTTGGGTGGCGGCGGTGGCGGAGGCGGCGGAACCGGACTGCTTGGCGGCGGAGGCGGTGGCGGCGGTATGGCTCCTGGAGGAGGCGGCATGAACCCCGGTGGCAACGGCAAGCAGCACTTTGGTGGTCCGCACAGCCCAGTGTCGCTGCCGCCGTTCCACGAAAGCCTCATCAAATCGGGTGGCAACTGTTATTCCGCCCAGTACAACAACCAGTACCATCACCTCATCATGTCCGAACAGTTGTGTTTCAACAACAACAACAACGATACGGGCCAAAATCCGACGTCCGCCGGCGGTAGTCCTTTCTCCGTCGTTGGCCTGGACGGCCCGCCCAAACAGTACTCGCTGCTGCAGAACGCCTCGTCGCTAATGGCCATGGACGTTATCAAAGAAGACGATTGCGAAGACCTGTCCGGCTACGTCAAGGAACCAAACGGTTTCGACGCGATCATGGCAGACTCGGAAAACGGCACTTCCAACGATCCGCTGCAGTTCACGGCCACGTTGACGTTTGCCGGACCCACCGATCCCGACTTTTTGGAAAGCTTGACCGATGCGGCCGAACTGTTTTTCAAAGAGGTGAGTAACAACGCCGCGCCACGACTAGAGCTCGTCTCGTAATAACTCGTTTTAAGACATTTTTTTAAAAAATTTTTAGCCTCAAGAATGTATACCTCCGTCGATGGTCGAACAACCTCTGCACTTATTCAACGAACACAGAAACGGCTTTTCCGAATCGCATCCAGAAAAACGCGGTTATCTTCATCAGAACGGCGCCGCCGGCGCTCAATCGGCATGCCGTCACAACTACAACAACTACGAAATGTCCAAAGACCGTTTATCACACGGTAATTTCGACGGGCCCAACCAACAACTCCAACAGCTACAAATACAAGTGCAGCTACAACAGCCACAAAACGTCGACGTAAGAATCATTAGCCCTTTTTTACGTCGAGTCGTGTAAACGATCGACTCGAATAAAATATATTTATATACATACATGTATATTTGATAGTAATTTATATTATTGTAATATTTATGTGTCGCTCGCTCGCAGGGTTGCGGAGGACAAATGATGTTGTCGCCCGGTCTGTCTTCGCTGGAAATGGACTCCAACACAAGCATGTCGGCCCCGTCACCGGCCAGCGTCAGCATGGACGGCACCGTGTCGCCTTCGCACAACGGCAAGGACAACAGCAACTCGTCGCTGGACGTCAGAGTTCTACAGCACAGGGTGAGAAAGACAACCACCACCCCGTCAGTAGAGAAACCCAAATATTCTTCTTTCGCCAGTAAACTCACGGCCAAAGTACATATATTTGTCTCGCTGTTTTCATTTCTCCCGCCCATGTTCGCACACCGACCCCGACTTGACTAATCGTGTTTTTTTTTTTTCATTTTTTACAGCTCGGTCTGCCCAACGACCTGCCGTTCGAATTCGTCAACGGCGGCCACGGCATTAAGAACCCATTAGCCAATCACGACACGCTCCCTCCGCCGACGGTCCTCGGCCGTTCGGCTGAACCCGAGAGGATCGGTGCGCCGCCACCGCTGCCGTCGGTCACCAACTCGGACTCGTCGTCGTCGTCACCGTCAACCGACGCCGGCCACAAGTCCGGGTCGAAATTCTGCTGTAACCTGTGCTCCAAGACGTTCAACCTGCAACGTTTGTTGAACAGACACATGAAGTGCCACAGCGACGTCAAACGATACCTGTGCACGTTCTGCGGCAAAGGCTTCAACGACACGTTCGATCTGAAGCGACACACCAGAACGCATACCGGTAAGTGTGTGTAGGCGACGGATTATTTTTCGGCTAACCATAACGCGTGTCGGTTGGGTCGGGTTATAAATAATAAGTAGTAATAAATCGTTTTTGGACTATTGGTTTTTCTGACGGAATTTTCTTTTGGTCGTTTTCAGGTGTTCGACCCTACAAGTGCAATCTGTGCGAAAAGTCCTTCACTCAGCGATGCTCGTTGGAATCTCACTGTTTAAAAGTGCACGGTGTACATCACCAGTACGCGTACAAAGAGAGGAGAACCAAGGTGAGAATTCGTTATGCTCGCAACCAGCCGGTCGACAGAGTGCGGTGCGGTCGGCCCGAGTGTTGCAGCTAACTGATTTGTGTCGTTGATTTTTTTACAGATGTACGTTTGCGAAGAATGCGGGCACACGACCAACGAGCCCGAAGTCCACTATATCCACTTGAAAGAGAAACACCCGTACAGTCCCGCGCTGCTCAAGTTCTACGACAAGAGGCACTTCAAATTCACAAACTCAAACTTTGCCAACATGTTGCTACAAGTACGCACGTAGATAACGCGAAATGTCGATATACTTTCGACAAACCTATAAACGATAAACGGGTTAATTGCAATCGCGTTTTTGCTAGACTGACCAAAATAAATAATAAGAAGTTAATTTAAAAAAAAAAAATACACTAATAATTTACGAACAAAAAAAAAAAAAATAAAAAATAATATTAGTAATTAATTAACGATTTAATTTAAAATTATTTACAATAACGACATAGATATATAAACGGTTGGGTTTGGTCGTATATTATTTAATTATTTTTCCTGAAACCCTCGATGTTATACTGCCATCACGCGCACTTGTGTAAAAATGCATTTGCCGTACACGTTTTGTACGGTAAACAATTGATCGTGTGTGGAGCGTATCTCTATGTCGTGTTTTTCAAAACAATTACCGGAGTTTTTTAACTCGGTGCGTTTTGGATTTCAGGAACGAGAGGGCCGGCATACCTCAGACGCTTTTAAACGGTTGTCGCAAGTCTGTTGAACGCGATTAACGACGGCGTGGTGGTGGTTGTGGTGGTGGACGATGAACGAAAGAGTCAACGGTAAACCGTGGTCGAGTCTACGTTTTATGTGTTGTGTTTTTGTTGGTATTTTTTTAGTCGTTGTGTTTTATCTATATTGATTATTGAACGAAATTATTGTTTAAAAATGTTGGTATCTTATGATTAGGAAAATTTTTTTTTTGTACATAAAAATATATATTTTAAACGGACGGATTTTTTAAATACATCATCTATACGTGAAAGCTATTATTATTATTATTTGTAGATCGTTAACTTGGACTAATGTACGGAATAAGGCTAAACCGTTTGGAACATAATCCCAGACGGCGTCGTAACTCGTAGTATTCAAATGAATTTTTATTTATTTATTTTTTTAAGCTTTTACCGTTTTGTAAATAATTCATAAATGTAACTCTTGTGTCGATCATACATTTTTAAATGAATTCTGACATGTCGGCCGACAAAGGCAATCGTTTTATTCTTAAGTTTTTAACGCTCTCCCGATTGACAAAACGTGTACATAAATAGCGGTGGGGGTGAAATCGGTATAAATAAATAAGCGCAGTTCTTATTTTTCTAGCCGAGGGAGCAAAACGCGTTCTCCGAACCAAAATCTTTTTTAGCGTTGTCTTGCGGTACACGGGTTCTCGTTAGAATAACATACGGTTATGAAATATATATATATATTTATGTGTAATTATTAAGTAATATAATAGTAACGAATTTTTGAAATTAAAATAGTATTTAAATTTCGATTAACGAACCGCTCCAGGGTCGGGTATCCTAAGCTGTTTTTACTTATTTACTCAAGTGTACGACACTTGTAACCTATTTAACGATTAGGTTATAGGCGTACGATTAATTTTTATGTAATATTAGTTATCAATAATTAATTAAGTATAAATGTAATTTAAAAAAGGGAGAGGAGTTCGTTATTGTTAGTTTAATTATAAATATATATTTTAAACGGATAGATATTTATATTATACGATAAGATTTTTAGAATATATTTTGTAGATTGTAATGTGAATATAAATCTGTGATACGTTTTCAATTTTTATTCTTATAAACACATCCTAACTTGTATTATTATTATTATCATTATTATTTTTATTATTATTATTACATGTGTCTTAATATTAAGTAAAACGATATTATTTAGTTTGTAGTCAATTTTTACATTTTTATGTTGTATTATTTAAGCATTCTTCATATATATACATAATAATAATAATAATAAACTTTTAAATAGTTGAATACGACTATTTTATTCTCAGTATACTGAACTGGCGTACAAATATTTAAGAAACTTAAACAGTAGTGTTGTACAAAAAGTTCTCATTGAACTCTGGATTCGACGAAATTCAAATAAATATCGCTATTAAAATAATATAAGTAGAAATGTGAGGTGATAGCTGTTGTTTTATCGAGACACTTTCTATTGAATTGTGTACTGACCAGAGTATGGCGAACGTTTCGCCGAGGAACACTGACACTACAGGGCGTGTAATGTGGAACGTCCGTTTGTATTCAGATCTAACCGGGTGGGGGTATAATAGTGGCGCCGCCCCTTAATGGGCATACGAGAGCATTTTTGATACTCGAAAACAATAGAACGGGGACATTTTAGTGTATACTTTGCGCTTAAGGCGATTGTCTAGAACAAAGTTAGAGCCAACCCCAGTCCTTAAAAATTAAATGGAACGCAAAATAAGAGGTACGTCGATGGTAAGGCGCATTTTCAAAAAGAATTGAGACGGTTGGGAATTTTGATCGAAGGTAGTGAGAATTTATCGTGTCTTACCACTCTCCTTGTACTGAATAGCGATTTTTAATTTTAGTAATTTTTGGAGTAAAAGACTAATAAAAAGGTCATTGAATCAATTGAAACCATATTCCTTGTAAAAATAATTATGGCTGCGTTACCGATATGGTAACTGGTACAATTTTTTAGTATAGCACTTGGTTTTGGTGAGAAGGTGGGTGAAAAATGATGCCCGGGGAATTCTCCGCTACCCCGAAAAAAACGTCATTGGCAGTGGAATAGGCAATAAAAACGTCTAAACTATTTCAAGATAAAATATAATTTTGAAATGAGATTTACAACTTAAAGATTTAAAAAAATTGCCAATAACTATAACGTTTTAACACAATTCTTGAATTTTATTCGGTTACGCACCAAACAAGGATGCTTATATTTTAAACATTTCTATTGCCAAGTTAATATCTTATATTTTACTTGGAACCCATTTGTCAGGGTTTCTCAATGACGCTTAAATATTTTTTAATTTTTGTTTGACCCGCCTTGTAATCAAAATTTGTATGGTTTAATATTACTAGGTTTACTGGATATAGAGTTGTTATATGAAAAGAGGTTTTAAAAAATCTGTCAAAGTACAACATTTAAACCAAAATTAATCCTGTTTTTTTTAATATCTTTATTATTTTCTATGTGTTTTCAATACATAAATTACTTTTATTTTATTAATTATTTCTGTTAGATTTTTCAAAAATATACTCTAAATGTAGTTGAATAAAGTACATTGCATTTTATGTTGAACTTATTACCGTTTTCAAAATACTTTTACCATCTGCTGAAAATCGTTGTTTGATTTTGTCACTCAAATGGTTAATAGTGAATTAAAATTGTTGCTATAAATAGACCTTCTGGGCTGTCTTATTTTATTACTAGTTAGTTAATCGCCCATCACTACTTTAAATACTCCGTTTATTATGTCAATTAAATCAATTTTTGATACACGTTGCTTATGTACCACTTTTACGACATGAATGTTATTTTAAAATATATAAAAATATCAAATAACACAAAAGATGTGTGCTACTCAATGTGCAAACATTTGAAAAAACTATATGTTTTACAGTTACCATTTTGTGCACTTCATGCGCTACTTTTACTACATGATTGTTATTTATTTACTTTTTCTAGCGGATTTTGTTGTTTTATTTATTACAGTTTTAGATTTTCATTTTACATTTTATTCGATTCTGATTTAATTTGAATGTTAAATTATACATAATTTAGTTGAAAAGAAATCTACAAATTTTATTATTGATGAAATAGTATTTTTTTTTGTCTATAGAATTTGCCTCATTACTTTAATATTTTTTAAAAATTGAGGCGTTCCCGGACGGAACCCAGCAGTTACATCCATTAAAATTCTTAAACCCATTAAATTAAATACTTCCAATGAAAAAATTGTGTTTACATTCAATAGTATACATGCGAGTATTTTGTGTAGTATATATGAAAAAAATTGCGGCTTGATCATTTAGAGTTGATAAACTATTTTTATATTAAATGAAATACATTTTTAAACTAATATATTTTTTCCTGTAAACTTTTTTAGTATGTTTTATTTGCTTTCAATTCGATCCTTAATTATAAAATAATGGTTATTCTTTTGGTGAGAGCAAATAGACAAATGTTTTTCTGATAATTACTCAAATAGTATTTTATAAACATGAATCTATATACATATATTTAATATATAAAATTCTCGTGTCACAGTGTTTATACTCCTCCAAAACGGCTTAACCAATTTCAATTAAATTTTGTATGTTCGCCAATCAGGTCCAAATTCGGCATGGTTAATGATTACGACTCAAGAAACTGGACACCCAAAAAATGAAAGTTGTAACTAAATTAGTTTTTTCTTAATTAATATTTAACCAATTCTTGAATCGCCGTTTCCTTCCCACGCACTATCTGACGTCACATATTTTAAACACTTCGTAAGATACGGTTGAAAATGCATTTTTCATTTGAACATTAAATAAATTCTGACATCGTGTTTACGCCCTCATTTTAAATGGGCAATTCCGAGGTGAAAATATATTACTATCACGAATCCCTATTATATCCACAGATATTGCAAATTCAATTTAAACGCCTTCAATTTCCAATTAAATTGGCATTTGCAATGACTATCAATAAGTCTTAGGGCCAAACGATGTTTGTCTGTGGCTTAGATTTAAGCACATCATGTTTTTCACACGGACAATTATTTGTGTGGGCAAACCATCCAGTTTGTTTGTATCGGCGAATGATGGGATAACAAAAAATATTCTACACTCTGTTGCTTTAAGGGATTGATATTATTTTTTTGTAACATTTTTATAAGTGATATGTATATAATTTTAAAGAATCAATTTCAATAAATTAAAAAAGTAAATGTTTGGTGTTTTGTAATTTTTATATTCCATCACTGTCCACAGCGCTCCATACCTCTTCCACTTCTATACCACATCCTTACACACTTACAAAAACTTAGTTATTTTTTTCTAACAAAATATTCTCTAGAAATAATTTATATGATGAAACAACGTTTGTCGGGTCAGCTAGTTATTTATAAAATTTATTATGATTTCATATGATATAAAACACTTTAAAAAATTGATTTTAAAAGTCTAGTAATAATTTATTTTTATTATAGTTTTTTGGAGAAATCGATGATAATTATTTATTTGATAAAAAATAATTACTGTTCATGAAATCTAGTTGAAAGAACGGTTATTATAATTTTAATTTTTGCAACCATACCATTTTTTTTCTCTAAAACAAAATTTGGCTTTATAAATATAATTAAATATTATTATAAACAATATTTAATATTATTTATTTTATTAATTATATAGTTTATTATCATTATTGGAAGATTTAGTTGGAGTTGCAATAAAAGACCAGACTACAGGGGATTCTACTAGATGTTATGAAATCACATTTCACAAATCAATAGATACGATTAAGTAAAAAAATGGTAGCACAGTGAGGTCGTGACACAGTGTGAACGTGTCATAGTTGGAATAAGTGTAGATGATATCTAACAGTGAATACAATCACTATCATAAGAAACGCTTTGATGCAAATCTGTAGATAGTGTTTGATTTTAAGAAGTTGGTGGATTATGCCAAAAGCAAAATGAATTCCTATTTCCTTTATTAATCCTGATTAGAATTTTTTTGATTTAGAAATATAATATATGTATTCATATTTACTTTATCAATTAAATTAGTATGAGATCGATATTTAATAATTTAGTATTGTAATTTTTTTGGAGGATTTATAACAAAATATAAAGTTGTTACCAATTTTATGGCAAATGTGTATAAAAATTAAAGGGTTTGACACAAAACTTTTTAGACAATAATTTGTTGTTAATTATGAATAAATGGTCTGCAAAAGATTTTCATCAGAGTCAAAAATATACTTTTATTATTCAATTTTTCGTGATAATTTCAAATTAGCAATTATATTTTTTTTATAATAATTTTTGATATTATTACTAATTAGTTAAAAACTATAGCATAAAATTATAAGGAAAATAGTTCTGAATATATAAATTCTATTATCTATTTAAACACTAAGAGTTACATAGAAATAACAAAAAAAAATGTTTATAATTATTAGAGATTTTGAATTGTAATATGATAAAAATAATCAGTGCAAAATATCATTATTAACTTATATTTTTGGTCTTTTAAAGATCATATTTTGAAAGTTTATAATAAAAAACAAGTTGAATTTGTTATCATAACTTTTACTTAACTACAAGTTTGAAATTTACATTATTAAATAGAAAATTTTATGATATTTAATTCTTATAAAAATTAAAATAGTATTGTTAAGATTAATATGCAGTCAAGAAATTATATAATTACTATTTACAGTAAATTTATCACAAAAGCTCAATATATTTTTTGCATTTTAACTGTCATAGAACACTTAAAAAGAAATCTTAGTAATCATTTTTAAGTAATTTTATTATTAAAAAAAAATTCTTTAATTAAAATATTCAGAACTTAATTAATTTTAATGATTTACTTTAACTAATAATACCAATCAAAATGTTGTTAAAAAATCTACTTAACTGAACGTATTATAAAATTTGATTATAATTGTAAAAAGTTTTTGTTAAATTCATGTGAAACTAAAAATAATTCATTTTATATTTATGATTAGCAATATGTTATCAAAAACTTTTGAATATTATAGATTGGTAGTAATACACACAAATAAAATTAAAATATTAATGAATTACAAAGTAAAATTATTTAGTTTTGTAGTTGAAACCTTTCATATCAAACCTAATTCGTCAATAAATACTTTAAAAACATTAAAAATGTAAGATTTTATATCTATATGGAAAATGTGAC